CATCATCATCATCAACAACATCATCATCATCATAGGCAGCAGGATTTCGGTGTTTGACACTAATGCTTTGTTTCTGTGAATTCCATAGACCATGCAGCTCACGAGTATGGAATTTACACCTTCAATGAGACTCAATTTTGTTGTTATCAGCATTTCAATTCGAGACAGCTAACCATAATTGGGCTTCATAGTGCAAACATACGGTGGCTTTCACGTCATAATCCCTCGAGCAAGAATCAGACAGACAAGGAATTAATGTGACTTTGCAGACAGAATCAATGTAAACAGTCTTTCATGATTCCCACGCTTCTAGTCAGTACACTTCCATGATGCGCTGTGTCAAATATTCCGAAATTGTATGTTACACTATATATAGAGAAAGAGATAAAATCTGTTAAGACCAAAATGCCTTGTTAGAAAAGCACATGGGGTAAGCCTAGTTTTTTTTTTACATACATCACACTTCGAAACAAAATTATGCTACAAAACACTGGAAGGGAATCAATCAAAATCAAACATGAGTAGAAAGTTCATCATGAAAAACTAAGGGGAGTGCTTATATGCCGTTTAGGTGTAACCTAAGTTCTGAGTTTGTGAGTTTGTGCAGAAGCTATATGTATTTTCTCTACAGTTCATCGTTCTTTTCTATATTATATATGTATACTATAAACTATATTCTACTTACTACATCAGGTCGGCTTGATACAGCCAATTCGTTCCCGGACTAATCAACCTCAACTTTTAGAACGATAACACCTTTCGTGCGGAAAGGTGGACTCGATCTAAAACCGCGCTAAAACATGATAAACGATAGATCTAGCTGGATTAAGGTGGGTCTCAAATCAAAACGAATTTGGTATTCAAATGAGTGTATTTTGGTGCATTAGTTTTTACTTAAATCAGACAGCTGTACAGCTTATTTTGTCGACTCTTTATAAAGCTGTTGGATCCGGATTTCAGACCAGAACTTTCGCATTTGATATCACTTTTCCATTTATTGACACGGAGAGTAAGTGCAGAATTTGATTTCCCATTACTTGGCTGGATGAGCCTTTGAAGTGGTTTCATACACACTTTTGTATTGCCAGAGAATACTTGCATATACGAGGAATAAAGTTGGAGATAATTACCAAGGAGTGGAACGCCGTGACTTGAATTGTGGTCAACATCACATGTCCAAAACTCATACAACCCAACTTCAAAGGCTTGCGTGCGTGACAGTCCAGTTTGATAATGACCTTTCAGTGACCGCTTCCTCTCGCTTTCTCATGTAAAAAAAAACACCTTAATGCTAACGATATCGGGACGTGGGACTAATTCGCCACCAGCTATTCACATACTCATTCTAACTAGTAGCTTCCCAACGCAGTTTTCCGCGCAACCCATACTCTTCAGGTCCAGTCAGTGATTAAAATTTATTTTTTCGTTATCAGACAAGTATTATCGGTTACAGGCGAACAACAAGTAGTGCTGCTGGCGCGGACTTTGATTGCTTGCATGATTCCGTGCCCTATGTGAATCTATGCGTCCGTCTGTGTATGTAGTTCGCTACTCGAAGGAGATTGAACAGGACAGTCGGCGTGAGAATTTCAAGGAGGGTAGGGTGGACAAACATACACCCATTTGAGTAAAAACGGAAAGACCCGGGTATTTTGTGAAACTTTGTTGCCGCATACGGTTGCATAGACGTGTGCAGAGGACGGACGCTGTCAGTATCACAACCTTCATAAACTGGCTTGTGTGACAATATTAGGTTAAGCTAATGGTCAGACAAGCAGTTGGAAAGGTAGGATAAGACTGGAAACCAAATACGTTTTACTCGCAATTTCGCTCTGCAGGGGGGGTGTATTAAAACTGGACTCATTCCTACATTGTCCATCTGTCCCTATTTTCATCCGCCCGTCCATCCATGGATTTGTTTCCGCACATTCGTCCAGCTATTGCGTGTCAACGAGTCATAAACCACCATTCGTGGGATCGCTTATCCTAAACACATCTGAGAAAGCGAACAACACATACTCGCCCCGGGACATTATTCACTATTAATGTGACCACTGAGCAAAAATCAAACGCTTGTGCTTTCTCTTTAAGCTTCTAATGTTTGTTGGATGGAGGTTTGGAGAACGGAGTGTGAGCAGAGTTGACTACCGGGGAGGGGGAGTGTGTGTTGGTAGATAGTTAATGATTTATGTTATTAGCTTCTGTCACTGACCATACTACTACTAGTAAGACTATCAATGACAAACAAATCCAGATTAGCAAGTCGAAACCTTAAATCGAGAATTTCTTGTAGTTTGGCCTGTTGCGTTAAATTTATGGTTGGCTCCAAATATTGAGGATGGACGCGGGCGGAATAACGACTTCGTATTATTTCACCTAGTAACGGGACGTATTAATAGTTCGAAGAAGTTTATTTAACTAGTTAGCCTGATTTGATATTAGTTATAGAATGAGCGCAGCTTTGTCAACAGCTATGTCACTTGCGCCTCTCTGCGATGCGTCACGTGAAAATGAACTCCCCGCGTCACTGCTATACATAACCTGATGATGTCGTGAATGACGGACTCATTTGGGTTTTGCTCTGAAACCAGTGAAATTCACGAATGAGCGTTGAACCCGACAGAAAATGTGATACAAGAGGATGTGCATTATCCCATGCATGAGTTGATTGGGAGTGAACTTGTATATGGGCTGGAAAAGAGCTTCACCAATCTTAAACCACCAGAGAACATATTCGTTTGTCATTAATGTGGAAATGACAGGATCTTTAGAGCGGCTATTCGCACTGCATATTTTACAATCATTTTGCAACTGACTTTCTACTAACTAAAATTAATAAATCAAAGCTTTTAATGTTAGGAGAGCGGGATCAGATTTCATTCATCCTTGAGAACCTTGCTTGATTCTGGTATTTTCTTATTAAACATTCCTTTCATGCCAATATAGCGCGCGTGGCTTGGTTTCGCCATAACTGATGTTATGCACGCAGCTTGAAAAGGACCATGAAGCGGTAACATATTCACCTATTTGGTGTCTTTACCGTGACCCCTCAAAATCTCTCAGTTCCACTCATTAGACAAGTCATCATTCTCGACATCCATACAGCTCCAATGAAACTTTCCAGCATACCTACCAGTTCCTGACAATATAAGAGAAACAAAGCGTCTGAAGAGTTCCTTACATTTTGCGAACAAATGCTAGAATTCAACATTCTCTACAAATTGCAGCCTCCGTACCGGTCATTCTGGCTGACCCATTTGGGATTCTATGTGCTAGCATTACTCGATCATCCTCCTGTATTTTCATGCTGTTCCGTTGTGTCAATTATGGTAAACAGTGTACGAAAAAGATAAGTGATAAAAAGAAATAAGAATA